AGGTAAACTTATTCGAACGCGCTTGAAAATCCCTTACAAGCAACTATCACATTGTAGACGGACTGGACAGAGCGAGTACCCCTCAGCTCCGGGTATGACTCCGCGGCAGGACATTAATTCAGCCCTGGATAACGCCAGCGGCTCATCTGTCATCCGATACAGCAACTCCGATTTTTGTACTCAATAAACTCTTATTTGGGGTTGTTTCCCCTGCCCCGCCCTTTTTTTGGTAACTCCTTGGAAATTCCAAAAGGCGTAATTAGACGGCGACACCAAACTGAAGTCACTGTTACAACAGTATTATGCTTGTTAATGAGGCTGTTCAACACAGAGAAGCGAGAGTGGTGTAGACTCTCACCTTGAGGATAGAAGGTTTATATTCCCGTGACTTTTGATTAGCCCGCATCGTCAGTTGTTTCACTCTCTCCTTCTGCTCCCTGACTCCCAGGATGGTAAAGAGTCCCAGAAGGAGGATGAAGAGTAGACACTCGATAAGAATGAAAGTGTCAAATGCGTACGCAGCTAAGTCACTACGCCGCTGCAGCGTTGGCACATATTCCGGACCTGAAAAAAAACAATACCAAGTTTAAACTCAACCCGGAGTCAAATGTAATTCAAGAAGAGGGTAGAAGTACAGGTTAGATATTGTGGCATTGTACGAGCCTGCCCCCCAGCGCTGCCTGCTCTGTCAACGTGGCCAGTGAATCGATTTTTGGCGCATCGCTGATTACTGGTCCACACTGGACTTGCCTCGCCACTTGTGATGACTGATCTACGAAACGTGAATTGGCAGTCAGGACACTCAATCAGTTAATCGATTTTGAGTACCGCTGATTACTGATATGCGCCAGATTTTTTGTCAGCGCTGGCAGAAACACACTTCATCACTGAGGCCTGGCGAACAGACGCAGCAGGCAACGGTCTCACGATTCAGCTTGTTCAATTCCTTCTTCTTGTAGTGAAGAAGTTGTCCCATCAACTCTGTCTTGCCTGAATTGATTTGGGGAAGCCTTCTGTGGTCGACGCTATAACTTGCCACATTTGTGACCCCGACGTGATATGAAAACGCAAAGGAGTTAAGGCTAAGCCGGTTGAACTCTAACTACTGCGATCTTCCAGGCCCGGTTCCTTAGAAGAAGGAAGAAGTCGTGGAGCCCAAGGTAGAAGGAGCTTGTATTCTGTACAGAATAAGTAGGAGAAGAATTAACTGAAGTTGAAGACGTTTATAGCTGTAAGATTTAATGGCACTATAAATTTCGGGAGACTCCTCAGTTACAGTTTCGAGCACGAACATCTCGAATCTTGTACTACCTGGAAGCTGCTTATATTAGACGCTTTAAACTGGACCTTTGCAAACAGTTGGAGCATGTGGTTAACCTTGCCTTACCTTGGTAACCACAGGCCCAGATCTGCACACTCCCCAGCCCAATATTCCCCACAACTCAATTCCCTGTTTTCTCCCTCCAATTTTGTTCTCACCTTCTTTCTCTATCTGACTAGGACCTATGACCTTTCTGTACAATTTCAATTTCGTGTTTTTCTCATTCGTGAACCTTAATGCAAAGAGGGGTTGTAACTGAGGAGCTCTCCCGAAATTTATGGTACCATAAAATATTATAGCTATAACCATCTTCAAGTCCTCTCCGGGAACAGCATGCTTCAATTAACTGAAGGGTTGACTTGGCCTGGGGTGGAGTTCGATCATGAAGAGCGAGAGATAGAACCGCAGTCTCGCGTCCGTCGCGCACCGGGGCGAAAGGCCGAGTGAGTTCCGCCTTGCCTTTGAATGGGCTTGGTGCGAGTGTGTTTCTGCCAGCGGTGACAACAAATCCGGCGCATATCAGTAATCAGCGGTACGCAAAATCGACTAACTGACTGAGT